TGTTCATTGAAGCAAAAAGAAGAAGTATACACACTCCCAGAGTACTGTACGGTGACCTAAGATGTGAGATTGTCAATTTAGTACACAGAGTTACTTACCTGAGAATTTTTCAAACAATACTTTATCCACATAGAAGTATTTTTTTTCATTTGTTTAGACACTTATCAAGTTCTGTCATAACACTTAAGTAACTCTGAAAAATTAATAAATCATTGCTTCAAAAATATTTTATCTATTTATTTTTTTTTTTATAAATTATCGAATTATCATATTAAAGTAATTAATTACTAAATTTATTTTTATATTTTTTTTTCTGCTATTTTTTTCTAACACCTGTTTAATCCATAAAATACTTGGAGTGACTTTGTATTTTTGTAGAAAAAAAACAGCAGAGGTAAAGCTGCATTTTAAGAAATTCGAGTTTTTAAAATTCATTGATGTTCTTAAAAAATAAATTAAACTAATTAATTGCATTGAATTAATCATTGCAGAAAAATTTATTTATTTTCCCCTTATTTTTAAATTGACGATACAAACATACTAATTAGTTAAATACCCGAAAGTCGGATTTATATGGCTTATTTTATGTAAACCGTTCTACGATTTATTTTGTTTTAATTGACAAAAATTGATTTTTCATATCACAGGGAGATCCCCCTGTTATTGTTGTATATATGTTACCTGGTGATCTCCCATCTTCTAAATGTACATTCATCAATGATAATCATGTCTTGCTTAGACTTTAGGGAGATCCCGCTGCCTGTGTGATATTAGGTGCTCAATAAGTCTCTCTACGTTTATCTGGGATCTCCCTAATAGCTAAGGTAGTTTATTTGTAATTAGTTGTTGTCTTCGTCATTAATAAATTACAATATTCATCAAACAATGTCTTGTAGTGTTTTATGGAAGTTAAAATTAACAAAGCTGCAGGACCAACAGGGAACTGGTTTTCACGCATTCTTTACAATATGGGCATTTGTCTAGCATAAGATAAATGGAGGGCATAAATATATTTATCTATTTATTTTTGAAATTGACAAAACAAACAAATTTATTAATTAAATACCCGAAAGTTGGACCTATTTGGCTTATTTGATCTAAACCGTTTTACGATCAAATGTGTCTCAAAGTATTTTTGAAGCATATTTAAACTACTTTAAATTATTTTACTTCCATGATGGATATCAAAATAATCGTCTCATTATGCACAATCTTAACCAGTCAATATCTTTTTTGATACTTTATTTTGTTTTGATTGACAAAAATCGGTTCTCTTAACGTATAAAGACGTTATGAGTAAATGTGAAATAAAATCAGGATTACAAATATATGTTAGTAAAAAAGACGTTATTAAACGCCAGTATATGTAATTTTGATAGTCTTCTCTTCCAAGTTCTTCCTTGTTTAGGCATATTTTGATATTCGAAACGTGTGTATGAGTATCTGATTTATTTGTATTATTATTTTTAGGAGGGGGGGGGGTCATGCGATAACATGTGACACGCATTTCTTGAAATTCAAGTCTAACGACAAGTATTAGTCATCATTAATATTGTCGTACATTCACTGGCTAAGATCTATGTATTTAAATGGAAAACTAACCATAATACTCTTCGTTAAAGCTTCCAAAGACTCGTTTTCATAGAGATAATTTTCAATTTATCCTTAATGATCGCGTGTAACAGTTTTATTATTAATATGTTAGACCGTGCAACCATTAGTGAGTACGAAACAGATCTAGATGCATTCACCGATTTTTTTTTATCTGATGTTTTCTGGAGAGGGCTATAAATTCCACAGCATCTCTGTAATGGTGCAAATTTTTTTTTAAATACGGGCGACTGCAAGCAGAGGAAATGGTTTTTACATTCAACTTACTTCTGTCGACAACATAGCCCTTTTAACGCAAAAACCATGTAAAATAAATATTCGTGTTTATCTGTCGTTTTACTAATCACCCATGACACTTCACGCGTGACGTACTGAGATTTGCGCTTGAAATTTAGAATAACTGAATAAAGCAGGTGTTGGTGTTTATAAATAATTGTGATGAATAGTTTCCACTAAACATCGATAAATAAAATCATGCCACGGCCATGTGTTATATTTTCGTAAACAGCGATATTTAGGCTTAAAACAAGGTAATTCCAAAGAAATTCGCTCGCTATAGAACCTTAATCTCATTGGCTGTCCCAAAATAAAAACTTGTCAAGGTCAGTAAACATGGCAGATAACTTTAAGTCGTGATGTTGACATACACAAAAATACCTGATATGGATTGTTCTCATCTGTATATTTTAGGATTGATTTATGTCTTGGATAACTACATTTTTGGAGTCAAGTTAAGAAATGTTAATAAAATAACCATATACTGACAATTTTAGCCGAAATCCGTGGTTGAGCGAATCGCTTCCGCAGGTGCACAATTACGAATATCCTAAGGAGTACACATGTAGTAGCCCTCTTCCAAAAAAGGGAGAGGGCTACATTATTGCAGCTAACCTTTTAAGTGCACCAAATGCGCACATACAATTTTGTTTTAGCATCAAATACAAACAAGAAAAATTGCTGTGAACATGGGTGAAATAAAAACAAAGGTCAGATATTTCAGCGGATTGCTGGATCACTGTAATATATTAAAGGATATAAATTTTAAAAAAAATGATTATGAATAAAAATCTAATCCAGTGTAATTAGATGATTCTCGCCAAGTTTAGAAAACCTGTGTAAATATTGAACAGATGACATGCTTGTGGGAAGCAATTTCAGGGGGGGGGGGAATCAAATCAGTTCATGTAGACACGTATTAAATTGTACCACGCAAAAGATTCCTTGACAAGCTATAAATATAACTCTTACTCACTATTATTCATTTACCAAGGCAAGAATTTTACACAGCAAAGTTTTGATAAATTTGAATCTTGAAGCCACGCAGAGGGATCGTGTCAAAACCGGAAGTACTATTGATGAAGCATCTACTCGTGGATAAAACATAGGTTTACCTCAAGGGTAGTATCATCCTCATGTATGAGATAAAGAAATGAATAATACTTACTAGAAAGATTTCTCTTCATTGCTTACATGGTATAAGAATGACATACACTTAACAAAACTTCTAAGTGTTCACTTTAATAAATGTATTTATTCAAAAACTACTTTATAGAATGGTGTGATATTTTCAAATTATTACAATAAATGAGTCTTCTCAACAATTGTTGAAAGAAAATCAAATATCACCGATGAAAAATAATGTGACGAAGCTTAAAAATAATAAATCTGTACTCTGCAGCACAAGTGTTTTGTGTATCTAGTTTCTTTTTGTAATTATTATCAAAGTTTTAAAACTGGTTTCACTAAAAAACACAAAACATTGGCAACTGGACCATTGAGATATAAGGGAGAGCCGTTGGAATGTTGATATCTGGATAACTGGATAATTTTTGCACCACGTTTTACACGTACTCACTTTTATTTTAGTGCTTATATGTACTTGATATTAATTTTAAAAATGAACAACCAGAATCAAAATCCATTTAAACACATTTTTCTATAGACTGAGCGTCATTTTTCATCACCGATTTATCACAATTTTAAAGGTTTTCACAAAATTTGACCAAACCGGAGGTGACTTGATCTTCGGGTGACCTTGATCTTCGTCTGAGGCCAGAATTTCGCGTCACACCATGTTAAAAGAGTGTTAAATTGTCCTGAAACAATCTTAGAAACATGAAAACAAACAATTACAATCGTATGAAAATGATAAGATATCGGTGCTGGTGACAGTCTAACATCAGCTGAAACAGTCTGAATAAGTTTTAAAGAGGTGCACTTACGTGATAAACACCCTAGGGAATTGACCAAAAGGCATCTGTGTGATGATACACTGTCAAATTCCCGGACCTGAATCATATTGAACACATTTGGGATTTTATAAGAAATGCCTTCCCCCTTTCCACGCAATTTCAACGGTTTGGAAAGATCTAAGCAGTATGTGTGGCAGCAGATGAGTCAATCTCCTAATCAGGGGTAAATGGTATTCAATTGTAATTACATTCTTGTAGTAATTAGAGCGAGTGGTGGTCTAACTCTGTAGAGATTTTTTGTGTGAATTTTCATTATGAGGGAGCTTCTGACGAGATACTTACAAGAAATTTAGGCAACATCGAACTGAAATATGCATAATTAACCAGGAATTAAAGAAAAAACTATTCATTGTATGCATTTGTTCTTTAAAACTTCAAAACTGTTAGGTGAACACTTAGAAGTTTAGTTCAGTGTATACATACAATCATTATTTATTAGGAATTTTTGTTGTTGTTTTTCTTTGTTACTTTGTTTTCTTTTGTTTTTATTCCTTCTTTTGGCAACAACTACTATCCATGTTTTGTCTTACTTGAAAATGATTCTACTGGATGGTCAGGATTTGTAATATTTAAACATCATATCGATATCGTTCTAATACTCATAGAACATCATTGGTCAATAAATCCCTTAAAAATGAAAAGACTCATACTCCCCCTTCTTCCACGTTTACAACCTTATTTTTATTTTTTTTTCATTTACTCAAATAATATATAAATCGTCAATATTTTGTTTATTTAATAATACAAACATGGAAACCATCACGTGAGACCTTATAAATCATAAATATTAAAAACCTTAACGACTGCTATTTTACAGAAATGAAGACATTAGAAGCAGTTGACTGCCTTTGTAAAACCCAGCGTTTAATTTGACAAGCATATCGTTTTACAAGGACTGCTTACAAGTCTTACGATGATCAGTCTCTACAGTTTTGGACAATTCCTTGCTCTGTTACAGACATGCTACTCCCAATGCTTCGACCCATTCGACCCCAAAACTTTGCTCGTTAGCAATTATGAAAATTCCTCACGTCCAGGTTTTAACCTTTTGAGAAATTCTGACATTTCAATGTGCATGATGATTTGTTTTAAGTTTAAGTTGTGTCGCTCAGTGGATTGGATACAAGAAGAAAAGACATGCCGGCTAAACTCAAGGTTTGTCATCCAGAATGACAGCAGTCTAATAACTAAAGGCCCAACCTTTCATGTCGAAAAGGAAGAGTTTCCAGTGGTAAGGAAAGACCTTAAACATTTTCATAAAAACCAATTAAATTACATATTTAAGGAATCACAACCCTGGGTTGATTTTACTTCAGCACTTGGCAGGCTCTTGCTTAAACAACGCCTGTACTGAGTATGACATTTGTATTGGTGGTAAATGTGTACAGGTTTTAAAAGGTAAGAAATTACCTCAAATAAATTGTAGGGAATGGCTTTTGAATTTATTAGGCCTAACAATACTTATTTGATAATGCTTAATGAAGGTTGTTTTCTTCCTAACTCTGCCATTTGTGCATTTTTGTAAACATGGAATGATTGATTTTACGTTGTGAAAATTTCTGAATATTACTGATTTATTGAAATACATTTTTGTTCCCTTTCCCTGCCTATGGATATAAAGCAATTGTTAAGTGTATAGTTATGATTAGCAATGGCGCCTCTTTCAAAATTGTGAATGCCATAGCATCTAGCTTGAAACATGAACCAAATTAAATTATTTGAAACTTTGTGCATGATTCTCAGGTGACCTATAAGGCCCATGGACCTCTTGTTTATTTTAAGTTTCGGAATCCAATATAGATATGGTAATTCAAATTGGTGTTGGTTGTTGGGAATATTAAATATATTCAAAACTGACTTTTGATTTTGAAAAATTCCCTCCTTGTCACCTGATCCCACCTCTGATGTTTACAAATCTGTGTTTGCTCTGCACCTGATTTTTACTGTGTGAATGGACTTATGAGTTTTAATATTGTACGTTATTACCATATATTTCATACTTTAAATATAAAAAGGATACAAGGATTGTTCAGAGATTTTGAATGGAGACCCCAGTAAAAAAGGACAAGATGGAGTTTACGTTATTTTCGCTGACACTCTGAGAGATGTCTTCTGTGACATGACGACAGATGGAGGAGGGTGGACGGTGAGTAATCTTTTAATTTTTAAATAATTTACAAATTGTGCATAAAATGTTCTTTAGTAGTGATTTCCGGAATTCGAAAATGAATATAAGAAACAAATATTGAATTATATGAATCCCGTTGCCAAAGCTTGATAAAATAAACAAACGTCTGCATGTTTCCATTTTTTGACAAAATGAACACAATCATTTTTACTTATCTGAACAAAATAAGAACGCGACAAATTGTTAATATAGTGTGTTAAAAAAAATAGAATACTTATTCTTTTCCTCCAGTCACTCTAGATAACCAAAGAGTAGCAAAATGCAGATATTCTTCCACTCAACAAGAAATTTATAGGATAGAGAAATGTAGTGATCAATATATTCCTTTTTCATATTAATGACAAGTACCAATTAAGTAAATAAAGGAATGTTGTTTACAGATATTTCAGAAAAGAGAAGATGGCGACTTGGATTTTTACAGGACATGGAACGAGTACAAACATGGATTTGGTAATGCCTCTAAAAACTACTGGTTAGGTATGTATCGAACATCTCAACCGCTACTTTTAAAGCAATCTAAATACAGGTCAGGTAAGACAATATATAGTAACTATCGTCCATACTTCTTTTCGTACCAATGATCGAGTTTTTGTTTTAGCTTAATGTATAGAGAACCGAAAATAGAACAAAGTTACTAGGGCCTTTAAAAACAATATAATATGAAAGGGAAATAATTCAAGACATTACAAACTGTACTTGATGGTAAATTGATGCCACCAATTGGATGCTATATTTCAACCAATTAACTGCTACAAGAGATGTTTTAACAATTAAGAGGCTCTATACAGGGAAAATTTACAGAAGCTCTAATAAGGGAAAACTTTGTATATAGGGAATGACGCAATCCACTTTTTAACCAAGGATCGGAACCAAGAACTCCGAGTTGATCTCCAGAGTTTTAGTGGAGAACAGGCTTATGCTGTGTACACTACATTTTACATTGGAGATGAAGACGATAAATATACCCTGACAGTATCTGGATACAGCGGAACAGCGGGTGTGTAGTGTGATCAAGGTATGGCAGAGGGATGATGGTATTGTATAAAAATATATGAAGGATGTTAAATGCAGATACATGTAGTGTATAAACATATACACATAGAGAAAGAGGGTATTTATACCTTTTTTTTCATTATTTACGAATTTGTATTCTAATTTCCTCAATACATCCTAGATTTTTTAACCCTAACTTAAATCCTTCCCAAGCTATGGGGCTCTTTGGTTCTGATCATATAACCAATTTCTGTAGTGCTAAGTGATGAGACACCATCGCAGTATTAGCCTTTATATAGTACTTAATGCAATGACACAACACGGTACAAACGCTTGGATTTGAACCAGAAATCTTCTGAATGCTTGTTAACGTGCCTTGCCATTGATCCATGAAATCAATTCATTTTTTATCATGATCTTTGATATCGTTAGTTAAATTTAGCTTATTATAAAGGGAAGATATGCTTATTCTCAAATATATTTAAAAAGACTTAGAGTGGGTTATATGATACATACAAGAATGATTTAGTATCATCAAACTGAACATGTTCACTTTGAATCTAATCATACGACTAATTTTTTAATTAGATTATGTTAAAATAAAATCCACATTAGATTATATAATTTTTTTAATAAATAACACATTTGAGTGTATTTCATCACATACTCTGTTCTAGGTGACAATTTGGTATGGTACAATAGAATGAAATTTTCAACAAAAGATCAGGACAATGACATGGAAAGTAAAGATAACTGTGCTCTATCCCGACACGGAGCCTGGTGGCACCACATCTGTTACGAATCAAACCTTAACGGACTGTACGGACAGTCTGGAGTGTCTGGTAAAAATTACACGACATGGCATGAGTGGAAAAGATATGAAGCATTAAAACAGACTGTGATGATGATCAGAAACAAAGACTTGAGTCAATTCTGATAAATTTATAAGGGAGAGTCGGGTTTTCTTACAAACAAGAGCATCTCTGTATGATTCCCTTCTTACTAAAAATCATTCTATTTTTGAAAAAGGGATTTATTAAAGACTCAGATCTCTACATCAGAGTAAAATCAGATAAAAAGAGTTAAATATTAGACCTTTGAAAGACGATTGGCTTTCTATCTTTCTAGTTTTTTCTTTTAAATAGTTACTTATAACATAGTTTAATAGTTACATGTAATATGTTTGAATTCTTAATTGTGATATTATACACATATCCACTGGCTAAATGTGGGATATCCTAGCTCTTTTATCAAACTCGCGACAGGGAACTATTTCCTATATATAGACAGTCCAAAAATTCAGAGTGGACGGTGCAACAGAAAAATGAAAATAATTCAAATAGAAAACACAAAGAAATCAACACATTAAAGAATTAGTAATCTTCTTTACAAGTCCTCTGACTGTCGCATAGTACAGAATGAAAAATCTTTTTTTTTTCGACCTGTCGGAAAAGGCTAAGTAATGTTCTCGATACAAAAGGAAAAAAATCCAATTGTTTCATTAGTTGTCTTTAAAGAATAAAACGGGCACCTCATCCCACCTCTGATGTTTTGGAGGTCCATGTTTTCTCTGCTCCTATTTATTATTGTTTTATAGACTTTGATATTGAATACTCTTCGTTATCATCCGTGTGATTGTGATATTATACACATATCCACTGGCTAAATGTGGGATATCCTAGCTCTTTTATCAAACTCGCGACAGGGAACTATTTCCTATATATAGACAGTCCAAAAATTCAGAGTGGACGGTGCAACAGAAAAATGAAAATAATTCAAATAGAAAACACAAAGAAATCAACACATTAAAGAATTAGTAATCTTCTTTACAAGTCCTCTGACTGTCGCATAGTACAGAATGAAAAATCTTTTTTTTTTCGACCTGTCGGAAAAGGCTAAGTAATGTTCTCGATACAAAAGGAAAAAAATCCAATTGTTTCATTAGTTGTCTTTAAAGAATAAAACGGGCACCTCATCCCACCTCTGATGTTTTGGAGGTCCATGTTTTCTCTGCTCCTATTTATTATTGTTTTATAGACTTTGATATTGAATACTCTTCGTTATCATCCGTGTACTAACTTTTGATCTGATTCTCGGATATTGTTGATTTAGACATGTACTAATTAAATTTAAAAATTCTAATAAAATTTTCCTGACTTGACATAAAAGGCTGATGTTGATCTCACCTCGAGAGAAAAGCCTGTGTGATATTTCGATTGCTCCGATACTTCAAGATCAGTATACCGACTTGAGTAGTTGGATGTTGGGGATTGTGGAAATAAAGTCGAATAATTTCATTCTGTTTATAACGCGGTTTCTGATTCATTACATTTGCTTTATATCGTATAAATTTGGTTGCTGACGTCACAACGACTTACGTCAAAGATGTATCGATCCGCCTGACGTTACATTTAAATCCTGTACAATATGTAGTCATTTTTAGCTCACCTCAGCCGAAGGCTCAAGTGAGCTTTTCTGATCACATTTTGTCCGGCGTCCGTCTGTCCGTCCGTCCGTCTGTCTGTCCGTCTGTCCGTCTGTCTGTCTGTCTGTCTGTAAACTTTTCACATTTTCGACTTCTTCTCAAGAACCGCTGGGTCAATTTCAACCAAACTTGCCACAAAGCATCCTTGGGTGAAGGGGATTCAAGTTTGTTCAAAGGAAGGGCCACACCCTCATTCAAGGGGAGATAATTGGGAATTAATGAAAATTTGGTGGCATATTTTAAAAATCTTCTTCTTAAGAACCACTGTGCCAGGAAAGACGAAACTTATGGGGAAACATTCTCAGGTAGTGTAAATTCAAATTTGTTCAAATCATGACCCCCGGGGGTAGGGCGGGGCCAAAATGGCCGACCAAAGTTTTACATAGAAATATATAGGAAATTCTTTAAAAATCTTCTTCGCAAGAATGACAAAGCCATAATTCGTCATATTTATATGGGAGCATGCTCAGGTAGTGTAGATTCAAGTTTGTTCAAATCATGACCCCCGGGGGTAGGGCGGGGCCAAAATGGCCGACCAAGGTTTTACATAGAAATATATAGTAAAATTCTTTAAAAATCTTCTTCTCAAGAATGACAAAGCCATAATTCATCATATTTATATGGAAGCATGCTCAGGTAGTGCAGATTCAATTTTGTTCAAATCATGACCCCCGGGGGTAGGGCGGGGCCAAAATGGCCCACCAAAGTTTTACATAGAAATATATAGGAAAATTCTTTAAAAATCTTCTTCTCAAGAATAACAAAGCCATAATTGATCATATTTATATGGAAGCATCCTCAGGTAGTGTAGATTCAAGTTTGTTCAAATCATGACCCCCGGGGGTAGGGCGGGGCCACAATGTCCGACCATAGTTTTACATAGAAATATATAGGAAAATTCTTTAAAAATCATTTTCTCAAGAATAGCAAAACCATAATTGGTCAATTTTTACTTTTGGATTTAAACTTTCCAATAATAAACCAATTTCTACTTTTTTCCTAGCCACAGTGCTCAGGTGAGCGATGTGGCCCATGGGCCTCTTGTTTATGAATTTAATATGAATATTTGTTTTAACTTTTTTGAATTTATATTAATTGTAACTTTTCTGATAAATATTATTTATTGTTTTCTCACCATGCCTTGGTTTCTCTTCGACGTAACTATTATGTTACAATATAATTGTAATTTTAACGAAAAAAAAACCATGATCACTCATTAGTCTAATTTTCGATGATGCTAGATAAGGCGAGATATGATTTTCTTGGAACGCTCGAACTAGTTTATTTTTTCCTATATTTATTAGGTCCCCTGAGTCACCAAGGTAATCCATTGCTATCTTTTCTCGTCCATCGTTGAGAGTCATCATTTCAACATTTTGATTATAAAGTGAAACTACATATTTTCTTTCAAAATATTCATTTTTGTTCCTGTTTATACAAAAGAAACTAATAAGCAAGGGGGCTTCTTCAAGGATCGTGCATGTTATTAGCTAACCTGATAAGGCTGAAGTTGATCTTTTCTGATCAAAATTTGTCCGTTGTCTGTTGTCGTCGTCGGTAACTTTTCACATTTTCATCTTCTTCTCAAGAACCACTGGGTCAATTTCAACCAAACTTGCCACAAAGTATTTCGGGTAAAGTGTATTTAAGTTTGTTCAAATGAAGGGCAAGTCCCACTTCCAAGGGGAAATAATTATTAATTAGTGAAAAATTAATGGCATCTTTTAAAAATCTTCTCAAGAACCACTGGGCAAGGAAAGATGAAACTCATGTGGAATCATCCTCAGGTAGTGTAGATTTAAGTTTGTACAAATCGTGACCCCCGGGGGTAGGGTGGGTCCACAATGGGGTATCAAACTTCAGCATAGGAATACATAAGAAAATTCTTCTCCGAAACTACTGGGCCAGGAAAGATGAAACTCATGTGGAATCATCCTCAGGTAGATTCAGGAATCAGAAAGATTCAAGTTTGTTCAAGTCATGCCCCCCCCCCGGGGGGGGGGGGGGTAGGGTAGGGCCACAATAGGGTATCAAAGTTTAGCATAAGAATACATTGGAAAAATAATTTACAATCTTCCTCTCAAGATTCACTGGGCCAAGAAAGATGAAACTCATGAAGAAGCATCCTCTGAAAGAGAAAATTACTTTTGTTCAAATCAAGATCCCCAGGGGTAGGATGGGGCCACAGTTGGGTATCAAATTTTCACATGGGAATACATAGAAAAGATCTGTGAAATTTTTTTTTCTCAAAAACAGAAAGCCTTGATTGGTCATTGTTATATGTAAGCATCCTCTGAAAGTGTAGACTCGGCAAAGGTGAGGCCACGATGGGTGATCAAGGTTTTACAAGGAATGCATGGTAAAAATTCTTTAATTTCTTCACAGAGCCATCATGTTGATTGATCATCAATTCAAAAGCATAAAAGTAGTGTAGATTTGAAATTCAGGGGAATAGAGAAGCATAATGTGGACAAAGGAATACAAACTTTATATCAATAAATAGAAATTATCTTGTAAACAACAAAACTATAGTGTGTAACAAAAGCATTCTAATGAGGTGTAGATTTCCGTCTTGGCCCCTGGGCCTCTTGTTGCTTCTAGGTTAGATATCCACGTGTAAAGTTATGGTCGATCGATAATATATATAAAAAAAATCATTAAATCTATTAAATAATCTTGTCTGCTTTTCCGAGGGGGGGGGGGGGCTCTAAACTTCAATTCAACTTGATCTCCAACTGAGTGCATAGTTATGATGATACAGGTTATAATATAGGGTTAAAAGTACCGAAGAACTTATGTTTTGTTAATAATCTTCAGGGTGATAGTGATAAATGGGAGCAAGAGGAACTTATTTTATGAGCTATCACTGGTCGAGTTCTAGACTCATTATTTGATCCTGATCATCCTATTTTTCTTGTTTTGAGGCAATAAATCTTCTTCCATCAGTTTATTTTATACTTCTATAGATCATCTACATTGTATTATACTCACTTAACCGTAAAGGCCCCTGAACTTCTTGTTTTACATATAAATGTATGTAAAAGGAATCACGCCCAAGTTTGTAAATAGTCAAGTTTGTTGTTAATGCCAGGGACATGAACAACAGCTGTAAGAGTAGAACATTTCTGTAGAATGGACTTTTTCTCTAATAGACAATTTATCAGAGTTTCTAACCATCGTTAATGCCCTGGCATACCCAGAAGACTAAAGTGATTCTTAAATGTAGTAAAAATAAGACTTTGTAATCATTGTTACATTACCACATTAATGTAGTACAAATAAGAGTTTGTAATCATTGTTACTTTACCACATTAATGTACTGTAAATCACCTTTTATTTGCGAATACTTTATTTTCGCGCAATTACGCCAGACAGTGTGCTCGCGAAAATTTAATTCTTGTGTATAATAGCATTCATTAAGATTATATAGAGCAATAACCACAATTCGTGAA